TGGGCTGTGCCTGCTCTCAGGTGGTGGGCTGTGCGTGCTCTCAGGTGGTGGGCTGTGCTTGCTCTCAGGTGGTGGGCTGTGCGTGCTCTCAGGTGTTGGGCTGTGCGGGGATTGCAGCCCAAAGTACCATCAGTACCAGTAGGACACATTGCAGCCCCCCATCGGCCTGCCTCCAGGACATCCCGCCACCAGATTGCATGTTATGGCCAGCCCTGAGCCACCCGCTGCTTCTCCTCCACCTCCTGTACAAAGCCGCCCGGACAGCATCTTGCTGACCCTCCCCCTTCTCCATTGGGCTCTCTAATTTGCCTGATGAGGCAACCACTGCTGCCTGATTCTGTACAGGCCAGCCGGCCCTGTCTGCCTCATTGGTTTGGGTGCCTCACTGGTTTGGGGGCTGTGTTGTGCTCTCTTTATTTTAGCCCCCTAGACCAAAACGAGCAGTATTGGTCTAGGGCAATCCAAAAATAAACCCGTGCAGTGGAGATACCCAGGCACTGCAAGGGTTAATTTTTCGACTGCCTGGAGCTCTTCTTTAAAGCAAACCTGTCAATTAGATACCTAAGGTGGCCTTTTCTTACCTCTCCAGAAAATGCTAATTGTCTGGCTGTCATGTTGGCTCTTTGGTTTCAATACTCTTAGTCAATAGCTTGAACCAAGTATGAAGAAAAGAGGACTGGCTTGTTCCTGGTTGGTGAGTGAAATAATTAAAAATGGTGGGTAAGGATAACAACCAGGTGAGTGGCATTTTCGGATGAAAGCCAGCAATGGCTCCGTCATACTCACCAAATTGTTTTAGGGGTTGCCGGGTTGAGGGGTCGGTCCATCATATTTGGTGGGCTTGTCCCAAAGTAAAGAGATTTTGGCATAGGGTGTATCAACTTCTATACACAGTCACAGGCAAGACATTCCGCAAGGACCCTTTGGAAGCCCTATTACATAAAAAACCTACGGTGTGTACGTTTCGTCAACATAGACTGGTAACCTTTATACTTACAGAAGCCAAAAGGGTCATTGCGAAAGCTTGGAAGTCCCCTGGTTTGCCCTTTGCTGAAGTTGAACGCAGAGTGACGAGAGTGATGTTTTTCGAGAAATGTACTGCCCTCCAAAGGGATACTATGGTATCTTTCCGAAAGCTGTGGGAACCATGGATTGAGTCATACCTTCCTCCCTCTTTCGATATGGAGTCCTTGACCATATAAATGCCTGTAGCAGGAAGCTTCTAGCACGTAACTTTTACCCCACCTCTTATACTCCCCTCCCCTTTCCTGACCCCCCACAACCCACCCTCTATCCAACCAAAAACCAGATGACCCGCAATTAGATTCTGCACCATTGACACAATACTACCATTGACGTGTTGCTAATGGTTATGTTGATTACTTGTTGATTTTTCGTAAGCTCTAATGTTAGACTGTTTCTTTCTAATGCGAAAGATCTCTTTATGGTACAAATTATTTGGTATGTTGCCAAAACTGTTACAGATTGTAAACGTGTGAATGATTATTACAACAAAAAACAAAAAAACAAATAAAAACATTTTGAACGGAAAGCCAGCAATGGCAACCCCATATTTCTCTTCCGATTTGCTGTAATAGGCGATCTATAATTGCACGCTTTACTCACATCCTAAGATAGGATATGTTACAGAACACGGCTATTAGGAAATATTTGATAAGCCGAAATCAAACAAACATCAATGAATTGCATTGTCTGTCGGGAAGATAAATATGATACAAAGCTACATAGCAACACAGCGGCAGTTCCTAAGTTACCCCGCGAAAGGTAAATATCATTGTGGATGTATATATGCAGAGAATTGAATAGCAGATAACATTGACAGTCCTGGAGCACCTGTCCCAACAAACAATAAAAAAGCATTCATAGCCAAAATGAATGTTATGCTTTGTGCAGAGAAGTCTTTATGCTTTAGAAGTCTTTAAGTCTTTATGCTTTGTGCAGAGAAGTCTTTACTGCTCCCCGGCAAGTGGAGCAAACTCAGCCTATGAGCTCTCTCTATATAGAAGGGACAGCAGAGCAGTGATAAGCTCATCCCTCTTCTCACTTTCTGCTCCTGTCACCAGGTTTACTTTCAGCACATATGCATTGCAGCAGAACCTGATTAGGAGATGGTACTGGGTACTGGCCCTCCCTCTCCTACAGTGCTGCTGTGCCGGGATAACAGCATGATGACATCAACACAAATTCATATACACAAGCTTATGTTAAAATAATTCCATAATTTTCACTAAATAGATTTATGCATTTTTAATTTCATATTTATTTATTTTTTCTCACACATCCTCCTGGAGCTCCCACACTTGTAGTGACTCCTCTCCTGTATTGAAACTGGTTACTCTCACCACCCTACATCTACCTACCCTATCTACACCTGGGGTGGGCATATCCAGCCCTCCAGCACTACATGTTCCATGAGGCATGATAAGATTGACAGTTACAGACATGACTCCCAGAGGCATGTTGGGATTTGTAGTTAAGGCACAACCCAACCCTGCTCTACACAATATAACCCTTTGAAGCTGCAGCAGCTATCTTGAACCCACCTTCAGTTCCTGTTTGAATGACTTCAGTTATCATCAATCCCTTCTTCTGATCAGTATTGTTGTTGGCCCTCTCTCAAATCTTTTGGCTTTCACTGCCATCGATTATCATATGTGAGCATTATATGAAATAACACATCCCGTTAACGTATAATCAAGTAACTGATCAGCATAATTCACAGCTAAAGTCTGCAGCACCTAGCGGCCAGCAGGGATGCACCTCTAAGGGGATGGCGGGGAGGTGCTCCTTCATATAACGCTTGAGGAAGGGTGCTGTGACATTTACAGGAGCCTAGCAAAACTCTGGGAAACTGCTCCAAAAATTGCTGGGAAACTTTTTGCTGCTGTACTGTATAAGGCCTGGTTCACACCTAGGCGTATTGCATATGAGCGTCTGTTTTTTTTAAACGCGCATTTCCGAGGGCGACTTGGCTGTATCCCAATGGAAACGCGCAACAAAAACGGCCTTTTCAGGCGTGGGCCGTTTTGTAGCGCGTAAGGGACGGGCTGAAATACGCCAAGGTGTGAACCAGACCCATTGAATACAATGGGATTTAGATGTTTGAGCGTTTTGTAGAGCGTTCATCGAGCGTAGAACGCGCTACAAAACGTTCAGGTGTGAACGAGGCCTTAAGCCCTTCCATGTGCACCTTGCTGTAAAGCTGGTGACAAGCTGATGAGTGTGTTTGCCATTTGTTTTGCTTGACTGATTTGGTGCAGTGACGCATAAGGGGTCTCAGCTGCCGTTGTGATGTGCGGGATCCCTTGTGTGTCCCTGTACCTTTAAGGGAGGTTGGGCTTCCTCCTGACAAACCTGCACCCAATTTTAACTTTGTCCCATGTGCTCCAAGATGGAGACTCTCATAGGTTAGGGTTAGGACCGCACTACACAGAGGTGCCTTGGCGCGGCTGTGCGGCTTTCACATATTCTGCAGAAGACGTGTATCCAAAACCTCTGTTTTTACCCTTAGCAGTTAGACAGGTTTTTTTTTTTGCATGCTGTCTGGTGAGTGTGCTGGGAAACTTTTTGCTGTTGTACTGTATAAAGCCCTTCCATGTGCACCTTGCTGTAAAGCTGGTGACAAGTTGATGAGTGCGTTTGTCATTTGTTTTCCTTAAATGATTTGGTGCAGTGACGCATAGGGGGTCTCAGCTGCCGTTGTGATGTGCGGGGTCCTTTGTGCATCCCTGTGCTTTTTAGGGAGGTTGGGCTTCCTCCTGGCGAACCTGCACCCAATTTGATATTTTGCCCTATGTGCTCCAAGATGGAGACTCTCATAGTTTAGAGTTAGGACCGCACTATATAGAGGTGCCTTGGTGCGGCTGTGCGGCTTTCACATATTCTGCAGAAGACGTGTATCTAAACCTCTGATTTTAACCTTAGTGGTTAGTAAGGTTTTGGTTTTTTTCGCATGCTGGCTGGTGAGTGTGCTGGGAAACTTGTTGCTGTTGATTTACAGGAGCCTGTCGACCATTCACACTAAACTTGATCTTGACATGCAGCAAAGGCCAGCAGTCTGGTGGCAGATTTCTTAGTCTCTGGCGACTGGTTGAAACTGAATGAAGTTGCCAAATGAATGGTCAGATTAAGGGCCCATTTACACTCCTGCATTGTGGCAACTAGGGATGCACCGATACCGATACTCGTACTCGCCCAAATGCTCCAAAACGTACCCCTGACACTGGAACTTCCAGTCAGAGGGAGATCTTCTTCTGACTGGCAGTGACGCAAGGGAGCATGGAGCTGGCTGCCCAGCCAATCAGGAAGCCGGGCGGCGGGTTATGACCCTCCTGCTGGCTTCCTGATCGGCTGTAAAGCCAGCTTTACTTGTTGCAAGGCAGCCTGGCTTCTTGACCAAACAGGAAGCCGGGTGGCGGGTCATGTCATTATGTCATGACCCGCCGCCCGGCTTCCTGATTGGTCAGGAAGCCAAGCTGAAGTGAAGCCAGTGTTCTTTCGATAAGAGACCGGCTTCACGGGCAATCAGGAAGTCGGTATCGGTATTCGTAAATGCGCAGGTATCGGAGTATCGTAAAAAATACTGGTAGTCGTACTCAATACCGACAAAACCGGTTTCGGTGCATCCCTAGTGGTAACGCATGCATTGTCACACACATTACTGCAACATTCGGAAACACAGATAATTTGCGTTGCTTTCTCGCACTTCTAATATTTTTGAATGGCACCGCAACACACTACAGCAACACAGGCTAGTGCATTGCATTACAGAAAAAGGGTTACATCCGTTGGGGGCCATTTATTTCAATGGGTGGCCTTAACGCAACACACATAACCACAACTCAGAAACGTAAATGGGCCCTAAAGGGGAGCCAGGCATACCCTAATAGATGCAACAGATGCAAGTGCTGACAGCTGTCACTGAGCAGAATGTAGGTCCACATTTTGAATCGTCAATATAAAGACACATCACAGATCACCTGATTATTCGGAATTCCTTCCAGAGTTCCCAAGAAAATCTGAAATCCGGCCGAGTCGCCAGCGCTGTGCTTCCATCTCTGCACGTGGTGTGGTATAACCCGGCCCTGGGCAAAAATGGCCCCCCAGTCTGACATCTTGTTTCCCACAAATATTTATGTTTTCAGAGATGTGACCTAAAAGATACAACATAAGAGACTGTGTGAGGAATCCAGATATAAATCTTCTACATAATATTGTTTTTTAAAGCTGAACTCCGAGATAAGCAAATATTGTCCTCATGCAAGAGTCATGTGTGCTCTTCCATGAATCTCGGTGAGCTTTGTGTATTTCTTCCAGATCTGTGCAGTAATGCAGTGTGACACTTGGAGCTTCCTGTAATAAAGACCGGTCACTGCTGTTCTGTCTCCTTGTGCAGAGTGACTGGTCTTGTCTCCGCCCCCTCTTGTAAAAAAGACTGCTCACTGCTGCTCTCTCCTTGTGCAGGGTGACTGGTCTTGTCTCCGCCCCTCTTGTAAAAAAGACTGCTCACTGCTGCTCTCTCTCCTTGTGCAGGGTGACTGGTCTTGTCTCCGCCCCCTCATGTAATAAAGACCGATCACTGATGCTTTCTCTCCTTGTGCAGGGTGACTGGTCTTGTCTCTGCCCCCTCCTGTAATAAAAAACTATCACATCTGCTCTCTCTCCTTGTGCAGGGTGACTGGTCTTGTATACGCCCCCTAATTTAATTTAAATCTTCTTATTGTAATATTGCTTTCTGGCAGTGGATGGAGCTGAGGAGCATGCAAAATAAGTACTTATTACCTAGGCCTCTTTAGCTCCATCTAGTGGCCATAATGTGGTATTACAATCAGAACATTTCAATTTACTTACACTTGTAAAGGGGGAAAAAAAGAACATTTGTTTGTGCATTAATATTGCACAGGACAAAGATTCACAGATATTGTCAGAGCAAATTGTTTATAAATCATAGAAGAATACACACGACTCTTGTATTTAGACAAATATTTACTTATCCCGGAGTTCAGCATCAATCACAGAGCCAACTTTAACATGTTTAACATTGCTGAGTCCGCACATTCCCTTTAAGAACCAAACACACTTATCCAAAATACATTTCAACTGCTGAGTGTTCGTTCTTCCAGCCAAAACTGTACTTCCGATATGTACACCAAGTGGACGCTCTTTGAAGTTAAAGGAGAACTATGAGGTGAGTGCTTTTCACTCACCTCATAGTTATAGCCGACGTGTGATAATGAAACTGTCACAGGTCGGCTCAGTAGATCAGGAAGTGAGCGAACACATACCGGCGGTCGCTCGCCTCTCGATCCTGTCACGGCTCACTGCCATGACAGGGGAGGGGCTGGATTCCCCTCTCCCCGCTCCGATCCTCCAGCGCTGACTGGCGGAACGGATGGGGGAGGGGGCGGGTACAGCTGGCTCTGCCTCTAGATAGGCAGAGCCAGCTGTCACTCACGCAGCTGGGCGGATCCCGACATAATTGTCGGGATCCGTTTCAGCTGCGGCGCCTCAGTATACCGCGAGCTGTAGTTCGCGGTATACTGAGCTTAGGGTGATGGGAGGACACTATTTTGTGTCCTCCCGTTACCCTAAGGAGAACTATGGGGAAAAGCCCTAACCCCATAGTTCTCCTTTAAGAAATGCAATCTATATGAAGCTGGAACAAGCAGCTGACATTTAATCCCGTACCGCCCAGACCATATGTGACCATCATAATGAAGTTCTTAATTCCCCGGACTTGTCTTTAGGGCCAGTACAAAGCCTTGAGGAAAGGGCTGCCTAGCAGGAGTATTATGTCCATTGTTTACATTGGTGACATCAGGAAATCCCCTAATCCCCCACAATTGATTAAGTAACAGTTGGCAGCTCTGGATGTCATGTGTGCTGGTGACCTGACTGCTTCACCAGAAGTGTACAGCGGACTGGGAATGGCCAACCGATTGGATTTCTGCCATTGAAGCGGAACGAAAGCTGTAGTGTTAAAAAAAAAAAAGAATTGCTAGCAGGTCGGTGTTGACAGCATAACAGGCAAGGAGCGGAATTTACTAAGACTTGTTATCTGTGCCTGACAACCAATCAGCTTTCATTTTCAAACCTTAACCTAGCAAACTAGAGATAGAAGCTGATTGGGTACTATGCACGGCTGCTCCAGATTCTGTTTGCTCCAGTTTTAGTAAATTCCATTTAACTACAGGGAAATTTTTATTAACCCTTGCAGTGCCCCCCCCCCCCCCCCCCCCCCCCCGCGCCGTGCATTGCTTTTTTTTTTTGCTCGAAGGAATGTAAAACGTTAACCCTTGCAGTGGGGCTGCCCCCGCACTTCAAGGGTTAACTGCTTGTTTTGGTCTAGGGCTGAGGGCCCAATCACACCAATTGCGTTGTGCTCCAGGGCGGCAGCAGCTGGAACGCACAGCAATCACTCACAAAACTTCTCCTTTCGTTCTGGGTCGGGAGGAGGCGTGGCGGTGCATTGAAGTCAATGGCACCACAGCCACGCCCCCCGCCCCAGAACGAAGGGAGGGTAGTGTGGTGGTGCACTGAAGTCAATGGCACCGCAGCCACCCCTCCGCCCTCAGTGCGATCCGGCGCGTGGCAAAATATTGCCTGCGTCCCAGTCCACTGCAAACGCAAAAAATGCTGCATGCTTTATTTTTTTGCGTTCGCAGTGGACCGGAATGCAGACAATGTTTTGCCACGCGCCGGATCGCACTGAGGGGTGGCTGCGGTGCCATTGACTTCAGTGCACCACCACGCACCCTCCCATTTTTCCAAGGTTTGTGAGCGATTGTTGTGCGGTGCTCGCTGGGTGATTTCACCACTCCTGCAGGTACTGTTTGTGAACACCCCCCTTCTGCGGGACCCCAAAAAGTCCGATACAAGTGACATTTGAGGACCGATCAGCTGTTCCAGGCAGATGATCGGTTCTCCTGCACTTGCGCAGTGAGCCGGTCTGCCCTGGAACAGCCGACAAAGCATTGGAAAGCTTGACCTAATGGGCGGTCACATGGACGGCTGCTGTGAAACTGGTTGGGATTACGTTAGAAAGTGTAACTGCGTCACCGGTCACACATTCCAACATAGTCACAAACTTTGATAGAAGACGGAGTTCAGCTTTAACCTAAACGGCCCACGTACGTGATATATCTGATCTAGAGCTGCAGCTAACGATTATTTTCAAAATCGATTAGTTGGACGATTATTAAGTTCGATTAATCGGTTAATCGGATAAAAAAAATTAAATATAATCGATTATTTCGATTAGTTGTTGCAGCCCTAATCTGATCCAAGAAACTAAAATATTTCTGTAAGTCATTTTTTTGTTTTCAAAACATTGTGCATCTGAGAAAAAGAAATGTGAACAAACAAGTGATCTCTGACAGCACAGGACGAGAAACTCTGAGGTTCACACCACAAACAGTGCATTCCGGCCCAATTTGGTGTTCCGGGACGCACTGTATCGCACCCCGGCCGGCTCCCTGGAAGGGGGCGTGGCGGTGCATTGAAGTCAATGGCACCGCAGCAAGCGCCCCCACCGGCCACAGTGTGATCGCCCGAACCCAAACACGTGGCACATCAATGTCTGCGTTCTGGTCCCATGCAGTCAAAAAAAAATAGTGCATGCAGCATGTTTTCTGAACGGAGCGCAGACATTGATGTTCGTCTCTTTGATAAGTGGAGTTCCCCATAGGACACGGCATGCATCAGCCAGAGGCCGCACACTGCTCATCATAGAGATAAATGGAGGCTGATTAGAGCCGGTGACAGCTGTCCTGTCTGTGTGAGGAAAACATGACAAGTAAGTGGCCTCTAGGGACTGGATTGCGAAACGCTGAAATCCATCAACATGCCAGATTGCCAAGTTCCAGGGCCGGTCGCAGCGTTTCATCCTACTTTCTAAAATTGGCCAATGGCTGCCCTGCATTGCATGTGCATTGGAGGCTGCAAAGTATTGTCACTGTGATGAGTGGATGGAGGTGCAATGCAGAAGCTTCTGCAGATTCCTCCCACAGCCCCGGTACAGACCTTCGGTTATGGAGCTGGAAGAAGTAATCAATCTACTACAAGTGCGGCGATGTCACCAGGCGCCTGACTTCCAGGGCCCTCCAGCTGCAATTAAAGTGAAAGGTCTTCAAGCCATTTCAAATGCTGATGAAATCACTTACAATGGACGCTGCTTCTTGATGTTTAAAAGTTTTAGCTTCCTGTAGAATCAGCTGGTCCCCTGAGCACTGGACCTGATATCCTGATTTAGGGTGTCTCCTTTCCCTTGCAGGGTCCTATGGGGCCACCCTTGTGTGTGTGTGTTAGTAAGTTGTGTGTGTCTCCACAAACACACAGACACAGCACGGCAATACACTCCCCTGCTCTCTGCTCCTCCTTCCTTCTCCAAGCTAGTAGATGGAGCTGCTGGAGACGGCTCTGTCTCTTGTGATCTTGCACTGGACAAGAGATTGAGGGAAGCGAGCTGAGAGAGTTGGATCTGTTCATGAACATAATGGATGTAAGTGTTTGGGCAAAAATGTAAAGAAATAATTTGCTGGCCCAGAAATATTTATTTGATATGGATTCATTATTCAAGAATAGGTTGGAGAATTTAATACTACTTTAATCTACAAACCCCATCGTGCATCTGTCTCTGGGAGTCATGCCTGTGGCTGTCACAGACTTGCAATGCCTCATGGGATTTGTAGTTTCACCACAGCTGGAGGGCTGGGTCACATCAGCTCCACGATTCCGGAATGCACTGGAGCGCATGCCCGTCGGCATCCTGCATTGCGGGGTGTGGCGGTGTGTTGAAGTCATTGGCACCGCAGCCAGGCCCCCCGCCCGCAGTGCAATCACCCGCACCAGAATGTGCGGCACATGTGCAGCATTTTGTCAGATCCCACTGGACCGGGCGTTCTGGTGCGGGAGATCGCACTATGGGCAGGAAGCCGCCATGAACGCAGGAAGCCAGCCAGTGCATTTCAGCAGCGAATCGTGCTGGTACGCACCGGAGCTGGTGTGAAAAGGCCCTTAGGGGTTCATTTATATAAGTTCCACCGGACATATAGCCAGGCACTAGAACCCCTAGATGGCGCTGATGATTACAAGAAATTCCTATACCCATCAGCGCCATTCATTTATTTATAACAGGTATTTATATAGCGCCAACAATTTACTCAGCACTTTACATAGGTGCGCATTCACATCAGTCCCCGCCCCAGAGGAGCTTACAATCAAAGGTCCCTATCTCACATGCATGCAGGGCTGATTTAGACAGGAACCATTAACCTTCCAGCATGGTGTGTGGGAGAATACCGGAGTACCTGGGGGAAACCAACACAAGCACAGGGAGAACATGCAAACTCCTTGCAGATAGTTTACTGACTGGGATTCGAACCGGGGACCCCCCAGTGCTGAAAGGCAACATGCGTTAAGTGTTGCGGTGACACATGAGTTATCACAACGCACTGCACAGGAAGGGTGTCGATTGGCCCTCATAGTTTGAAATAACTGAACACTACTATTTAAAAAGCAGTGAAGCTTCGGGATCAGCATGACACGGAGAAACCAAACGATGCATTTCATGCCACATGTGCCATTCATTCATTTGTAATGGCAACCCAATTGACTATCCCATCCATCACAACGCACGGTAACACACCATGTCCATTATGTTGTCCTTTCTGCGATTTTATGCAGCCCATTAAACTGAATGGCATGGCGCAGTACACCTTTAAGACCATTATTCATGTTACATCCATATTTAGGGTTTTATATGAAACATAGTCACCCCCTTCCCCATATGGTAGGGTGCTTCTCCCCACAGCCTTCTGTTTTTGCTTGATTTTGTCATGGAATCTGTTAATGGAAAGTCTACAAGTCTCCTCTGCCACTACGCTTAGGGTTGCCACCTGTCCAGGATTCACCCGGACAGTTCGGGTTTCGCTTGAAGAAAAGGTGGCAACCCTAACTACGCTAGAGGTACACAGGTTGCACCAGTGTGATGATGTTGCTGCATTTGTCTATAGATTACATCCCCCATAATGTAAGGTCTGCACCTTGATGCACACCTGAGGCTGGGGGGAGGGGGCAGCCTGTACATTACACTAGTGGTGCACTGGTTGCAGTTTCAATGCTCTGCAGACTTCAATGCAAAAATGTACCAAATGTAAAAAAAAAAAATTATTTAAAGATGTCAGGCAGACAGGGGCAACCAAAATTAATATAGGGGCTACTGGGCCCCCCACTGAAAATAGTCTCTACTGTGATATTTACATATGAATGGGCGGTCCCTTAGACCCACAGGGTCAGCAGCAAAGCATCCTGGGAAATGAACTGCAGAAGGCATAATTGCAACCAAAAGGAGTCAACTCTGTAGGACTACTACAACTCCCATGATGCATTTATCAAACCCTAAACACCGATCAGAGCAGCACCTCTCAGCAGCCATGAGAAATGGGTTACGCTGATTAGGGATCCCCCCTCCATCCATCAATCCCCCAACTACAAAGTCAGAGCTCAGCTCACCATTCATCTGCTCTGAGCTGCCATCTTCCTTCTTAGCTTTCAGTGTTACCATATACGCCTTCTAGGGGGAGACCTGATAGCCAATCAATATTACATTCGGGCACAGCCCTCCTGTTATAACACACGCCCGCTCACTGTTTTATGTTTCTGTTTTTATTATATTATGAGAGTAAAGATAACTTACTTTCTTCATGAAGGTGCAATTCTCACATAAAAACAAAAGACTCCCCCCCTTAACGGTTGTCACTTGGTTTCTCCCGGCACCCAGCGTCTGTTGCCACGGTGACGGAAATCTACCTCCGACGCCTCATATAGTGGCCTGTCGGCCTGGTGGTAAAGATCCCGGTTATAGAGAACCCAGGTCCCCACGAACAGAGTCAAACACGTAGATTTCATCACCCGGACACATCTGCATCTAAAGAAAGATTCTGGCGGACGGCTACTAGCCCCCTCTGTAGTCGCCGCACTACATTTCCTAGCATCCTCCACCCTGGTGTTGGCTGACATTGGATTCTGGGAAATGTAGTCTGCCAAGGCCAGAGCGTTGCTAAGTGTCATTTTGATTGCCGTACTTCATTTCCCAGGATCCTCCACCCTTGTTTTAGCTGGCAAGGGATTCTGGGAAATGTAGTCCGCGGATGCCTAGCTACGCGGCCAAGCTGGCTAGACACTAGTGGACTGGACAGTGGCTGTGATTTATGGCTGGAGGAGCCGCCTGTTGAGGTTTCATCATTTGGGCTTTTACATAAGAACCCTGAATTGCCAATATGTGGCAACCAGTCAAGCACCTTCTTGGGAATCATATTTAAAATCTGATCGCTAAGGGCAACAACTTCACTTTGGTCCCCATTTTGGCACATCCACCTCCTTATAACAGCAATGAAAGAGAGCTAGCTTATGGGAGCTGGTGGAAAGGTGAAGCTGTTGCCCATGGTAACCAGTCCACTATCTTGTCAATTATATTTAAAATACGGTTGCTCAGGGCAACAACTCCACATTTCATCAGCAAGGAAAATGGGAGCTAGCTTATGTAATATGATGGAAAGGTGAAACTGTCAACCTGTTCTTCTGCCAGGCCAACCTGGGCTTTGTAGTCCCCCAGCAGCGGGGAAACCCCGCAGCCGCTCGTGTTAGGTATTTTCTGAGCATTATGACGTCATATTGACATTTCTACTGTCTATGCGTCAAGAGGCATGACAAACCGAGAGCTGGCGCGGCGGCCAATCACCGGTGGCGCCGACGTTACAGACAGCCGCCTCAGCCAATCGGGGTTGTGTTTACGGAGACAAGGCGAGCTGACTATGTGGTACAGTCTGCGCTGAGGGAGGGGGAGGGGCCGGCAGCTACTCTCCCACGAGGTCAGCAGTGCGGGGAGAGCAGGAGGCGGCGGCGGCTGTGCAGCGGGGAGAGCCGGGGACAGACAGCGGAGGAGGAGAAGAGCTGCAGGTGCGTCTATACCGGGCGATCACATCACCGTCCGCACTGAGCATCGCATAATATCCCATCGCAGTGTGCAATCAGTGTCAGGTGCGGACTGCAGGGCGATGTGACAGCCTCCCCGATCTCTGTTATATAATGTGACACAGAGCGGAACTCTGCGAATAACATTCACCCATTTCTCTCTCTGCACCACAGGAGCTTGCAATCTAATCCTAGTGGTGATCATGGGCTGCTGTGATTACTGCCAACACAATGTGCTGTCACATCGCAGCGCTGACCCCTTCCTGAAACATTGTCATGTGTTATATATTGTAACAGAACATTTCATATCGGAGCAATTCACCATCATGATCTCTCCTCTGATTGGCCTAAAAGCTTCATTGGGATTCAAACTGAAGTGTTTGGATTGGCTGAAAGCAATGCCGACTAATAATAACATTGATTCTAGTAGTAGAAGTATTATTATTATTACCACTACAATAATTATAACAAAATACTACTAATATAATCCTAATAATATTTAGAATAATAATGTTATTTATTCAAGAAGCAGCAATATTTGTCTATTATTATTATTTCTAGTAGTAGAAGCAGTATTATTATTTTGTATTATTATTACAATAATTATAACCAAATACTACTACTAATAGTATTCGGTTGTTGTTGATATTATTATTTATTATTTATACTAGTAGAAGCAGTAATATTTGTTGATTATTATTATTAGTAGTAGTAGTATTTTATTATACATTTTAGTAGTATTTATTATTATTATTATTATTACAATAATTATAACCAAATACTACTACTTATTATTATTATTATTATTATTATCACAACCAAATACTACTAATTGAAAAATAATATTGACAGTATTTGGTTGTTAATAATTTATACTAATATTTATACTAGTAGTAGAAGCAGCAATTATTGTATCATTATTTTATTTTTCTTATATTTACCTCCTCATGTATCACTGGCCCCTCCCTTTTAGATTGTAAGCCCTCAGGGGCAAGGCCCTCCTTACCATCTTGTCTTGAATTGTATTGTGATTGTAATGCCTTCCTTATATTGTAAAGCGCTGCGCAAACTGTTAGCGCTATATAAATCCTAATATTTCCTCTGTTGCCTGATTTGTTACAATGCGGACTGAATCAAAGAATAATAAATCACCTTAAATTGTAATCAAACCATGTTGCAACATTTCAAGACTTTATATACTCTTGGCTTGGATGGCTTACAGGCTTCAATGGGACACGGGATGTAAGAAGGCGGGTAGGTTTTCATCCTCACTCCTGCAGCGGTCAGCATTCACCCCTCTCTCCCTTCGTTTTGGCAGAATGTGTTCTTAGGCATCCCAATGAAGTTGCATTTGATGTGATGGATAGATGGGGAAGCCTTCCACACACCATGCAGCAGTCCAGGCCTATGTAGAAGATGGTGCTCGCAGTGACAACCACAGATGGCGCCATGTAGACACAGAGTAGAAACACAAATCACCAGCACTCTGCGATATCATTAAACATGTCCATTTAATTGGACAAAACGTCACTGGTGCTGACGATTTAGCCTCACTTCCTGTGTGGTGAAACACAGGACAGGAAGTGAGGGGAATCTCTCTAAATCAGGGGTGGCCAGACTTTGACCCTCCAGCTGTGGGGGGACTACAAATCCCATGAGGCATTGCAAGATTCTGACAGCCACAGGCATGACTCCTAGAGACAGATGCATGATGGGGTTTGTGGTTTCATCACAGCTAGAGGGCCAGGGTTTGGTTACCTGTGCTCTAAAGGGCCAAGTTTGTAGACCTACTTGGGGCCCAGAGTTTTGCTTGAGTCGGTTTGTTTTCAAGTGAGCTATTCCCGTTTCTGACAACCAAGTATACAGAATTTCAGGTTAGGAGCAATGTGTTTGTCTCCATGTTGTTGCTGAAAATTTCATCTCACTTCCTGTCTGGTGAAATTGTTGTCACCAGGACAGGATGTTAGAGGAGGTTTCTCTTAATGGAGTTCCAGATATAATTCATAACTCAACAGGGGTTTTAATTAGGGATGTCCCAATGCCACTTTTTCAGGCCCAAGTACAAGTACTTCCCCTCATGTACTTGCCGATACCAATTACCGATTCTTTTTCTTAAAGGGACAGGTGATATGATCCATAGTACAACTACATGTTATGTACTATGGATCATGATTTAACCTATTCATGTTAGCAGGGGAGATTTGTAAATCTATTGTTGCAGTGCATTCTATATGTAGTATATAGTACATGTACATATAGAGTGCACTGCAACAATAGATTTACAATTATCCTCTGTTAACATGAATAGATTAAATAATCCCTAGTACAGGGCTACATAGAGATAATCTAATCCATTCATGTTAGCAGAGTATAATTGTAAATGTATTGTCTGCACTGTATTAGTGCACTCTATATGTACTCTGTATGTAGTACATATAGAGTATATACTGCTAATACAGTGCAGACAATACATTTACAATTATACTCTGCTAGTACTGTACATGTACTACATATCTATATCTATATATATATATAGAGAGAGAGAGAGAGATAGTTTTTCAATTATCCCCTATTCCCCCTGCTAGCATGATTAGGTTAAATCATGATCCATAGTACAACTACATGTTATGTATGCAGTATACTATAGATCATGATTTAACCTAATACTCTATATGAAGAAGTCAATGTACACTTTTGCCCTTACTTACTGGTGCCTGTTCAATGGAGCCTCATGGGGAGCTGAATGATTTCCGTACCATGCGAGGACGACGTCGGCCGCGCTAAGAAGCTGAGCGGAGGAGCGTCGCGTCACTGTTGTGGGCGGAGCTACAGGCGGAGTCCTCTGGGTTGTCGCCAGCCAACTACATTAGACCCCACCTGGAGCTCCGCCCACAGCGATGATGCAACGCTCCTCCAGCCTGTCTAGAGGACCCCAGCCACCACGGAAGGTAAAAAAAAAAAAAAACAGCGCAAGCTTCGGCGCTAGGCGTCGGGGCATTTTGACAAGTACTTGTCAAAATGCCCTGTATCGGGCACGATTCCGATACTAGCATCGGTATCGGGACATCCCTAGTTTTAATCCTTCCCCAAAAAAAGTACACTTTAAAGGAGAACTCTGGGTTAAGCAAATATTGTCCTCCATACAAGAGTCATGTTTATTCTTCCTGAATCTTGGTGAGCTTTGTGTATTTCTTCCAGATCTGTGCAGTAATCCAGTGTGACACTTGGAGCTTCCTGTAATGAAGACCGGTCACTGCTGCTCTCTCTCCTTGTGCAGGGTCACTGGTCTTGTCTCTGCCCCCTCCTGTTATAAAGACCGGTCACTGCTGCTCTCTCTCCTTGTGCAGGGTCACTGGTCTTTTCTCCGCCCCCTCCCTTAATAAAGACCGGTCACTGCTGCTCCCTTTCCTTATTCAGAGTGACTGGTCTTGTCTCCGCCCCCTCCTTTAATAAAGACTGGTCACTGCTGCTCTCTCTCCTTGTGCAGGGTGACTGGTCTTGTCTCCGCCCCCTCCTGCAGTTTTCTGCAGACAGCTTGTACTGCAGAAAACTCCCACAGCTCTGTTCTCAGCATAGGCTATGTACAGCACACC